TTTGATTTGATTATCTCTTAACTTCCCTCACGGATCAATCAGATACAATGGGAAAGTCAATGAGAAAAATATTGTTGCCACTAGTAGGCTTACTTTCTATCAAATTCTTTAATCCTTTTATATAAAAACATCTAAGTTATTAGTCATCAACACATCTTGTGGCAGTGTGTGCTATGCCCTAGTGACATGCTGAATTTCCTGTCAATCAGTTTAATTCATGACTGAACAACCTGTCTTGGCCTGAGAACCACATCAGCGATTTGTGAAATGTGATGTGAGCATGGAGTGGATATGGCCAGGTGAAAATGCTTGCAATCACAGCAGAAAGTTGGCACCTACAGATTAGGAACAACATTATTTTTAAATACCGCCCACTCTTCTCATAAAATAACCCTGAGTTCCTCTAATCATTAAGTTTAATTTCAATTTACTTAGGGTTGATCCACATGACCAGCTTGTTCCAGTACAAGTATGGGCCACTGGCTGTTTTCTGAGGGCAGGAACACGTGATGCCATGCATTACCTGTATCCAGCCCCATTTTTTTCTGCTAAGCATTGAGAACTGTGCTGTTGACTTGTGCAAGCTCAAACAGAGCTCTCTAGTTTGCCTGTGTGCATCATTTCACTGCACAGTAGACCGACCCCTCTGTTCCAATTGACCACTGTGTGCTGTGGCAGAAAGGGCCCTCCCTTCCCTTTATCAGTCGCTAATCTCCATGTACTTTTTTACAGGCTCACCAGTGGAACAGTGAAAAACTGGGCTATTTTGGGAAGAACCGTGAAATAATGGTCCTGTCCTTTTCTCCCCCAACTTTGCTGATGAAACTGGGTTTTTCCCCCCAAGTTTTAAAAATTTACTGATGAAGCAATGAAAAGGTGAACTGTGGACCTGTTCCATTCTGAATTTTTTCCCATTTTCAGTGTCTTTTTTGAGATGCAGTGACCTGAACGAATTGTATGTGAGAGAGCTAACTGTTGAGGCAAAATAACAGAGTTCTGTGATATCTTAAATATTTAAAAATACATTATGGCAAAAGGTTTTTAAATTTTCAGTATTCCCACTAAGGCTGCTACACACACACACACACACACACACTGACAGGATAATGTAGGCATTTTAGTTTTGATCTCTTCTTTAATAACCCCTAGCATAAAATTCTCCCCCCCCCAATAGCTATGTAAAACTAGGTTGACATTGTAATTGACCATCTTTCACAGATCCGAACCTTCATTCTTGGTTGGTTATGACTAGTTCAGCTCAATCAATCTATACTATATAGATGCACTGCTTTACACTTGTGTACACTACACTGCATTTCTTTACCATTTTGTTGTTCTTTCATTCACTTAGCTTGAAGAAATCTTTTTGGAGGGCTGAGTTTCCCTAGGCTGTCATTGTCCAATTTGATATCAGATGGGTGGAAAAATACACTAAAGGAGAACATTATGAATAAGATGGGAATCTGATCTTATGCACACTTTCACCAAATTTAGTTTCACTGAATTCAATGAGGATTACTTTTAAGCGCATCACAGAAGTATGCAGCCTAAGCATTTACAGGTAGTCCTTGGGTTACAATGGGACTGGGACTGCTGTCTCTAAGCGAGGCAGTCATAAAGCACAATATCATGTGATCGCATCGCTTAGCGACAGCAATCCCGGCAGTCCCAGTTGCCTTTGTAACCCCAGGAATGTGCGGGTCATTAAGCGGGAAGAGGCAGGAGTCCCAGGTAAGGAGTGGGGGAGGGGATCTGTGGGGTTGCCGCAGGCGGGCACTAGGGAGCATGGGCAGGTCGGCGGGGGCTGCAAGAGGACCAGAAGAGGCCTTAGGTGGGTCAGTGGAGGCCGCAGGAGAGCGGGGGGGTGTGTGTGCTGTGGACATGCTTACGCTATGGAGTGTGGGCAAACGGGATGCGATGGAGTCTCCTGGGGAATTTTGAAAAAGCAGCAGGAGTGGCTTACTGGGCTGACTTGCAACCGTCCCTGCTGGCTTCCCCGTTGACTTTGTTTCCAACATTTACCTTTTTTGATTCTATGAATATATCTCCAAAAGTGCACAGTGTATACTAAAGAAAAATGCACTCACTTATCTTTTATGGCAACCTTCCTTAACCTGGTGCCCTCCAGATCCTTTGGATTTCAATCCCACAATTCCCACTTAGCCTCAGGAACCAGGTTCTGAAAGGTTGGTCTGAAGCCACTTTACGAAATTAGATCTCGCAGGCCACAATTCCGATTAACAGTAGACCATATGGCTGGAAAATACGGTAACTGAAGGCTAACATATGCAGAGAGAATCTAGTTAAAGAATCTGAGAGCTCATCCTCATGTTCCCCTAAATGTGGCACAAACATGCCACAGGAACCATGTTTATATGCTATATCTTCTTTTAAATATAATTTTATTACGAATTTTAATTATAATAGTAAAATCTAATACAGTACAAGTTTATATACTATACCACATAACGTTGCCTTACCTCATCCCCACCCATGGCTTTAGATGTTCAACTTTCAAAGTTTTCAAAAAATCAAGAGTCTAGTAACACTTTCAAACTAACGTATTTTATTAGAAGGTATAAGCTTTCATGAGCTACAGCTCATTTCATCAGATGCACCAAAAGCGTACAGTATGCCTTTTAATAAAGACCCCTTCTGATTTTGGGCTACCATAGACTGAAACAGTTCTCTTCCTACAATGTCTTTTAAACAGTGTTTTCCCTCTTCTCCTGACACAATTCTTGCCATGGACCCAACCTAGAAAACTTAGTCCAGAGGTTATTAAACTGGGAGTAATTTGGGCATATTCTGGGGTAACAGAGCAATTTGTAATGGCTTGTTTGTGAGTCAAGGGTCCAGCTGGGGACTGCCGCTGCTGAGACACGTCCGTAAAACAACAGAGTCTGGTTTTTTGGTTCCCAGTTTGAGACTGGGAAAAGGGGTAATTGGGTCGAATAGTTTAAGATCCACTGGCTTAGTCAACGATGTGGTTGATGGGGTAGTCCAGAGATGGAATCTTCTGGGCTCCTATTAGTCACTTTAGGCTGGAACAGGCACGCCCTTTCCTCGGTGACCATTTCAGCTTGGGCACCTGGGTCCTGCAGAGACCCCTGCCCACCTAATGCAAAATACTGGTTAGCTCTTATGCAGGCTCCTTATGTTTAAGGGTTTAACCCACTTTTGAATGAGCCCTGGGCTGGTATTAAATGAAGGCTTAGTGCAATTTAGAAAGCCTCTCAGACGCTCAGTTTGAACGAGGAAAGACAGCGGGCTTTGCCAGCTTGTGGCTGCTTCTGCCTAAAAGTGGTTTTGCCTGGATGTATTTTTTACTGTTTTTATTACAGGATAATAAAAGCAAGGCTCCTTGACCTTTCCCACCGGCCACTACAGGATGCAGCTGACCTTTCCTATTTGCTGCCACCATTGCTATTCCTTTGCAGCACTAGCTGAGGAGTGAGCATTTTTGTGGTCAGTTCTTCCCTCCTGCTTCACCCTGTGCCCTCCTCCACTCCTGCAACCTGTCAGTCTGGCTAGCAGGGCACCTGTGTGTGTGTGTGTGAAGAGTCAAGCTAGCGATCTTAACCACAGGTTCAGTGAACCATCTCTTTTTCCTTGCATGGACACTCATAAAAAAGAGTCAGAGCTTTTGTCATGCAGTTGTGGCTGACATTTTTACTTGTTTCGTGTGTGCACGCGCACCCCCCCCCCACACACACATTGATGTCCCTGCAGGCTAGTTGAGGCACAGGGTTAGCGCTCTTCACTAGATCTATGTCCGGGGAAACTGTCTTATAGGCCACACTCTTCGCAGTCACCCAGTGCTCTCTTTTCACACAGCTGGAGCCTCTCCCAGCTGGAAGGGAAACCAAGCCAGGCAAACACAAGCACAGCATGCTTTAACTTCTCCAGACCACTCACTGGCCTCCTTACTGAGAACAGGGCTCAGCAATCAGTGCAGTGCAATTTTGCACCAGAAGCTTCGCTGCCAGCTCCCAAATTAGAGGGAAGGTCTTTAACATGGATCATCTGGCGCTGTCCCAAATCAAAAGAAAATCCCTGCACAGTGGACTGCCTCCCTTGGTAAACATGCCTTACTTTTGAGTAACAGCTTCCCTGCAGTCCGGTCAGAGCTAACTGGAAGGCGTTGACCGACTGGATTCCTTTAAGCGCGCCTGAGCTGAATCGGGCAACCACCGAGAAAGCGAAGGTTAGAACACGCGGGGATCCGCCCGCTGCCTTGGGGAGGGCTCGTCGCGCAGGAATCGCAGGGCGAGCGCGCGGTCTCGAACTCCAAGGATCAACTTTGGGACCTTTGCCTGCGCGCGGGCCACTCAGATCCTCAGCTGGGCGGGAGCAGCCGCCCCGCTAGGCTCGCCGGCAGCGCAGGGAACTTGCGGGGTGGTCTGGAGGAGCATCTCCCGGCGCCCTCCACGCTGGACCTCTTTCCTTTGGGGCTGCCTTCAGATTCCTTGCCTCGAAACGCGTGGACGCTCCGGATCGGTGCTTTAATTGTAAATAGGAACATGATCTCTTCCGCGGATTCACTCCGCACGTGAGCAGAAGCAGCTTGAAGAAATCGCCCCGGGGCGCTTCTTTTGGGCTGGCCGGGCCGGGGGGGGGGCT